AAAAAACATGACCAAGTTGCATGTTTCTTTTTAGGGCACGGTTAGATTTGAGACGCATGTCCCATTCTCCATGTTTCTTTAAAAGTTAACGCATGAAGAACAGGTAAAATTGTAAAAACATTATTTTTATGGGGTTATCGTGGGTGTCGTGGAGATCCGAGTCATGATCTAAAACTTATTCTTTCATTAAATTTTTCTGTTAATTATATCTATAAATGATATCAATTATAAAAATAAAAATGATTTATAATTAATTATGTCTAATAGCACAAAACTACTAATTAACGGGTATAATAAGAGTGATTTGTAATTATGTAAGTCATATTTGAAAAGAATTATTAAGTAGATGAAATGAATAGATTTATTATATATATATATATATATATATATATATATATATATATATATATATATATATATATATATATATATATATATGGCCACTTTCTTTAATAATGGAGATGACGGGTTGAAACTGATTGCGGCACTTGCACTGCACTTTCTATTCTCTTTGTGACTGACATTAATTATATTATCTTTTGTTCCAACTGCATTCCTATGTTGTCAAAGAGATGATGGGAATTATTATTAATCAATGATGATAATCGGACTAACAACTTCGTGACCACTTTGGATCACCAATTGACTAGTTGGGTGTATTTTATGTTTCTGCAACATTGCATGACATGTTAGAACAGAAGAGGAAAAAGAAAAAACTGAACTGCAAGTAGAAAGTTAATTAGCTGTTTGAAAAGCAGCATTACTTAAAAAGAGGCATTTTGGTTGTTATGATGGGTGTTTAGTTATGAGTTGTACTTGAACCCCCAGAGTTCAATGATTATTACTTATTAGGTAAAGAAAAGGACAAGGAAAATTAGTGGAGGGTGTGGTGTTGATGATCATTGCAGGTAGCTAGGGTTATGAATTTGGGTAGGGTGGTGGTGGTGGTGGTGGGAGAAAGAATATCATGAAACTTTAAATTTCACATTAAAGAGATGAAAGTAGTAATTAAAGTGGGAGAATATGAGTAGAAGAGATGTTAAACAGAGAATGCATTGGTCCATGTGGTGGATTCCAAACTGGGGCAATGGCACTGAGAAATCGACCCCCACGAAGAGAGAGAGAAGCATGCATGAATGAAAGTGGGGGTGATGTGGAATAAGGTAATGACAGAAAGGGTAACCGGCAAATCTCAGGTGCCACTGCAAGATTTTGAGACAACAGAACCCACATAAAACACGCGCGTGTCTCCCCTTTTTTAATCTCTCCTTCTTCCTTCCATTATTATTATTTGCCCTTTTTTCCAATTCATTTCAGTCCCATAATTGCCGAAATGATGCATAATATATTCAGGGATCTAGAGATATAGACGGAGCATGATAATGATAATGATGATGATGATGATGATGATTTATAGTGTGTAGGGGTGGGTCAAAAGAGATGAAAAGTTAAAAGAAATGCAGGAGGTGTTAGATTTGAAGAAAGTGGAGAAGCAGCACATGATAATTGGAATGATTGTGTGTATAGACAAATCCAGTGCAGCCTCTTCACAATATGCTACTTGATACGCTGCAAAAGCATGCGCAATATATGCCACACTCTTCCACACATATCTAATCTAATCAAATATAATCTTCCATTCTCTGTTCATTCTCTCCTTCTCACGTAAGCATTTCACCTTCTTACATCCCCATTTACATCTCTATCTATACCTGCACCTTTATTCTAATTAACTACCACATTTATCTCAATTTTTGTTTTTTTAAAAACAGTTTATTAATTAGTTCAACTATTCTTGATTTTTTTTAGACATTTCCTCTTTCATATTAATTACCAACTTTTTAAATTCAGTTTCTCTTCTTCATTTTTTATTACTAATGGATTAGCTTTTATTTTCTTTCAAATATCTCACAAATACCTTTTTCTCAAAGAAAAATTCTCCCGTACATCACCAACCTTTTCGCGAATAATTGAATTTTTTGTCAGTGCCTTTTGCTTTTCCTCATGTATTCACGCCAAACCAATTAAAATATAATAAAAAATATATAAATACAAAGTTCATTTTTATGTACTCTTTTTCTATTTTTTTTCTTATCTTGGAAATCTTGATATTAAAAATAAAATTTTGATCTCACTCTTACTCTCTCCGCTGCTTATCTTTCATATTTATTTCAAAAAGTACAACTTTTTTTATCACTTGAACTAACGTAATTTTGCAAGCGAAAACGCTAACAAGATAAATATAAAGAAAATGATAAAAAATGGATAAAAGTATTGATCGAGAAAATATTTTTTATTTTATTTTATTGAAGTGCATTCTTTTGTGATTTCCAATGTGATTTTCACATTAAGAATATTAAAATTTTGTGAGACATATGTGACACTAGGGAAAAATATGTTAAGAATCTCTAATAATTTATTTTTTCATTTATTCTTTAACTAATGTTTTTGGAACCATACATATAATAGTTTTGGAATTACCAAACGTAAGACTCAATAGTTTTAAGAGTAAACATTGATTGAGTTCTGAAACAAAAATTATTCAAATCAATTAGCCCACTACAGAAAAAGTAAGCTGGTAATCCTTCAAAGATTATAAATGCAAGATATTCAAATTGTTCAGTGTTTTTTTAATTATTATTTACTATGTTCCCTGAAATAGTGAATTGTGGTTCACGACAAAATCATGAGGTACAACTTAGTGCCTAAAAATGTTAATACAAATCGAAAAGAATTAATAATTCTATTATCGATTATAAGAAAATAAAGTGTAAGGAATAAAAAATAAAATAAGATAAAAAATGCATTTGTTTTTTGAGAAGAAAATGATATAAAAAAATGTAAGTTAATAGATAATAAATAAATTAATTAATTAAAATTAAGTGATTTTATAATCACAAATGTATGCAGATATTTATTTTAGAGAGATGAGAGAAAGTGATTCTGAAAATTAGTCATTTTGTCCCTCACATATTCCATTATTTCCTTCTTTTATATAAAGATAAAACATATGTGTATTCTTTCCAACTTCTATTATTACCCAAAAAAAAAGAGAAAAACGTTTTTTTTTTCTATTTTATTTTCTATATTTTTTTTCCTTATGATTTGATCAAGAGAGAAAGTGTTTGAAAAAGAAAGAAAGAAAGAAATCATTAAATGAATATATCTGCTGGATGAAATAGTGACATAAAAAATAATAAAAATAAATATTTATATAATTATTTATTTATTTTTTAATGAATGAGACCATTTTTAAATTAATATCATACACTTTTAAAAAACGAAAGAAGAATAATTTTTTTAAAAATTCTATTTTTCTTTACACTTTTTCTGATAAATAAAATTTAGATCTAATTAAATATATTGTTATTATTTAATTGTTAAGTTTTCACAAATTAATCATATAAAAAAACATCATATTAGTTTTAACATAGAATATTAAGACATTAAATTAATGAACTTTAATTTTTACAAATATAGAAATTTTAACTCACACTTTAGATTTCAACGATGGAAAACACTTTTATTTATACTCGTTTATTTACTTATATAAACACTTTTTATTTGACAAATTTTCCTTGAATGTAACATTAGGCTTTGAAATTGGATGTTTTCGTTATCATGAATATTTAGTCTATTATTCATGTAGTTGCACTAAATATAGATTTAGTCTATTAGTACAATTTTTCTTTATTTACAAGTGCATATATATCAAATATTAATTTGAGTATTAGTTAGTTCTATTTGACTCATAAATGGTTTCCCTTGTTCTGGAACACAAATATAATTGCTATACTGTTAGAAAAAGATGAATTCCTATATTGTTCTCTTTTAAATATAATTATGAGTGTCAACTAATGAAAGCACTAGGAGAAGACCTCTTTTGGATTCACTTTAGACCAGGTCAATGCTAAACCTACTCATTCTCAAAATTCTTTCTCTTTAATTTGATTTCAGTATATACACCATCCAAATAAATAATGTATCTTGTCATAACAATTCAACATCTAAATAATCAAATATTTTCCCTCTATATATCTTATTAATTATATAGTTATCAGAGAGAAAGTGGTAGCTTAAACAATGATATATGGTACCAAGTTTGAGAAGGATATTTTTATTTTATAATAAAAAATCTTATAAAAGTAGAAAAACTTCAACTAAAGGACGTGATACCATATTTTGTGCAACCTAGCTAGAGAACCACTAATTCTTGCTCCCTTCATTGGTAGGCCAGGGAATAATTATAATATGTGACCGTACATTGCTTCTTCTTTTTATTTATTTTTTTATATAAATATAATTCTATTCACTTTTTTTTTTTTGAAATTATTATCTGCATTCATGTTGAACAAAATTCATGGAAAATTATCTATACTTACCATGACCATAATAATAATAAAAATTATATTTAAGTTTATATTGCGAGAAATTGGTAGGAATATATGAAGAGAAAGAAAAAAGAAGAGAGAATTTATACGAACACAATATTACAACCATTGATCAAAATAATATAGTACTTGTTCAGTTTAACTTTACAGCTAAACGTGACAATGTGTATACCCATGTATCAAAAAGGATAATGTATAGTGTTATGATTATTAAGTTATTTTTGACTTTCTTCTTTTGTTTAATAAATTTTCTTGAACTCAAAAACACAACTATGTTGGACTTAAAAAAAAAAATTGCAATAGATCTGTCATGGACTAAAATGCAAAGATGTGACACTTATTTTCTCAGTCTAACAATAAAGTGAGGGTGAGAAGAAAATTTGTTTTTGAAAAAATAACATGGTCTATTGAGTTAAAAAGCGTTAATGATGGCCCAATCAAATTCGGGCCAATATCCAAAATAAGCCCGTTAAACTTGAACCCACGAGACACGACCGGTGTGCATACCGAACCGGGTTTAACGAACAAAATTGTTTGAAACGAAGAAGCTAGTTAGAACAAAGATCTGAACCGAGATAGGAGACGAGGAAGAGGAAGAAGAAGAAGAGAATGGGAACGACGGTGGCGAGTCTAGCGCCCGGTCTGTCACGGAAGCTAAAGAAGGTTCTTGAATCGAGTATAGACACGCCTGATCTCTTGTCTTCGCTCAACACGCTCTCTTCCTTCTATGACGAGAACACTCCTCAGGCGCGTCGCAACCTTCGATCTACCATTGAGAAACGCGCCCTTTCCATCAACCGCGAATTCCTCGACGCTTCCCACGCCGCGCAACTGGTAATTCCTCTTTCACCGTCGATCATGGAAATATTCTCTCACCGTTTCCTCACTTGCTTCCACTGTTCTGATCCGGTTCATTTATGTCTGAATTTTATTTGTTAGGCTTTGGATAGCGTGGAGAACGAGGTCGATGCTCTCGCCGAATGCTGCGACAGGTTTGGATTTATGTTTCGGAGGCTTCATTAGTTGCAACTGGTTGTTGGCGCGTTTATCATAACGTTGATGGCCTGTGTGCTATGATGCCGAATGCAGTTTCTTTGCTTAGTAGAGTGATATTGAGTTCATTCACTTCTACTTCTGTAGTTATTGTTCTTATGGACGCTAATCGCTTTGTGTCCTAGTAATTGACTTTGAGATATGAAACTAGCACATTGCTGAAGGGCGTAGTAGGGATCAAATATTAATGTTGAATAAGTATCCAAAAATCGAAATGAGACAATGTTGTGGAACTGGACTAATTAATCATTGATCATTTTCCATCCTGGTAAAGAATATATGCAGCAGAAACATCGTAAGCATATTCGCTCAAAAAGATTAGCTTAGGCGGGCTTGTATATTGTTAGTGAGAATAATGCTGTTAGGAGGAGATCGTTTGTGTCCTGACATTCAACATACTACAGAATACACTCATTATTAACACTTACTTAATTAGTTTTAATGTTCGGATGCATTTTACTCACGAAGAAACCAATGCTCCACATGCAGAAAATAATTAAAGAAATAGCTATAACTAAGAACAAAATTTGTTTCCTTAGTGCTGTAGTGTGTCTGTCTAGAGTTCTGGTTTGAATTTATTATGTTTTCTATCGCTTAATAGGAAGTTCATGGGATTTCAGTGGGTGATTTGGGTGAAAAGTTGCTAATTATGTACAAGAAAGGAAGATCCATGCTAGCAAGCATGTTAGAGCTGCGTATGGTTTGTGATCAAAAAGATTCTATTTTTGTGTTCTGTGTGGAACTCAGCTTGTGATTCTCAATTTTGGTTTAGCAATTTTGTTTGGTACTATAGCACTTTGTTGGGGTTAGGATTTTAAATTTTGCCTTGTAACATATCAATTTTACATTGAAAATTGAAACTTCCTTGTTGTTCTTTCAAAGAGAACAAATTCTTTATTTTGCTAGTCTATAGACCCTGTGATAAAATTTGACGTTCTATATTTTTACAGGATAGCGAAGGCTTTGAATAGTTGTAGTGCTAGCACTACTGACATTATCAATACCACAGAGAGGCTCAAACAAGAGCTTGAAACTACTACACAAAGACAAGAGATTGTAGCATGTTTCTTACGCGATTATCAGCTCTCGCCTGAAGAGGTTTAAATGATTGTTTTAGACTTGAACCACGGTTTTGTGAATTAAATGAAATGCATGTATTTTACTCTTGCTTACAGTTAATTGTTGATCATCTGTAGATAAACGCACTTAGAGAAGAAGAGCTGAATGAAAACTTTTTCAAGGCATTATCTCATGTCCAAGAGATTCATGCCAATTGCAAAGTATTGCTGAGGACGCATCATCAAGTAATCTTTTTGTCATCTCTACCCTGCCTGCTATATTATGTGTTGTTGTGCAATTCTAAACATGTTGTCTGAAATCTGAATTTTGAACTCAAAATGCCTATATAATTATGAGTTTAGTTTGGAATCCTGGTCATTGTTTTAGTCAATATTTTCATTCATTGACTAAGTTATAAGAGGATCGCTAGCTCACTGTTGCAGCACAGCTCGTAGTAATGTAACAAAGACGAATGTTGAAAAGAGATGTCAAATCTAGAATTTTGATTATTTATGGAGATATTCGGATGAGTGTGGCAAACAAGGAGGTGCACATCTTTGGGACAGAGATGAAATCTTCATGGATGCATAATCGCTGTATTCTCTTTCATTTATTTGAAGTAATTAATTGGTAATCAACTCTTGTTCTGGTTGTATGAATGCCAAATATTCCCATTATTGACAACTCAAAATGGTGAAAGATGTTCAATCGTTAATTAGAATTAGATAAATATTATTCACTTTATATTTGTAAATCTCTGATTATAAATGACCAAAGCAACTGGGTCTTTCTATTTCTTCATGTCAATAATTGTTTTGTTGTGCACTTTTACTTTTCTGTCACAATTTTCACTTAGTATTGATCTTGTTTTGAAAGGTTTTGCGCCACACGTAGCTGGTACTTTACCAGTTTAAAATAAAATTGCTATTAAATTAAGGAATTTCATTGCAGCGTGCTGGCTTAGAGCTGATGGACATGATGGCTGTTTATCAAGAAGGAGCTTATGAACGCCTATGCAGGTGAATATTCATCTACTTCAGCTCATATGCCTAGCACATGCATTGTATTTTATCTGTATGAGTTACTACAATCTACAAGTATGAAGTGTGATTTTTAATCTCTGTATGTATTGTTGACATAAATGTCAAGGATAGACATTTTCTATCTACTATTTTATCAAAGTCTCTTACAAGTTGTTTCTGTGTATTTAGATCAACTCGATTTATCATATATAACTACGTATATTTTTCATTTCTAGGTGGGTTCAGGCCGAATGTAGAAAATTGGGTGACACTGACAATCCAGAAGTTAGTGAGCTTCTGAAAACAGCTGTGCGCTACCTCAGGGAAAGATCTGTCCTTTTCAAATATTGTGCAGAAGAGGTAATTCTGTCATGGATTTAATGAACTTGCTCTAAAATTAACAATTCTAGTTTTTTTCTTGGGATTTCAAATTGGCCATTTCCCGCATTAATATGCAGATATTTTGCATTCTGAAGCATGTTTTGTTGCACCATCTATTGGTGACTATGATAAAAAACTGCTAGTGGACCTAACATCATAATAACATCTAAAGAATAGTCTTATTGTCAATCCTTAGCTTGTACATCATGAATCATTGATATACTAATTTTGAAGGTAGCCAATATGAGACACAATGCACTATTTAGAAGATTTATAAGTGCTCTTACACGTGGAGGACCTGGTGGATTGCCTCGACCAATTGAAGTTCATGCTCATGACCCACTACGATATGTCGGTGATATGCTAGGCTGGTTGCATCAGGTATGACATGGCAGGCTTGTGATGAATGCTTGAAGCCTCTTCTAAATGCTATTTTTCTCTCATGGCTTAATTGTTCATCATATTTTTTTTTTGTATGTATGTAGGCCTTGGCATCTGAACGTGAACTTGTAGCTGTATTACTTGATCCAGATGCAAACGTCGATTCTGGACCAAAGCAATTCACCAACAACTCTGAGAATGGCTCTGGGAAGACAGAATCTGACTTGATGTTTGTTCTTGATAGAATTTTTGAAGGAGTATGCAGACCGTTTAAATTGAGAGTTGAACAAGTTTTGCAGTCTCAACCAAGTCTTATAGTATCCTACAAACTCAGTAATACACTTGAATTTTACTGCTACACTGTGAGTTGTCTCATCTTTGTCCTCTTTTCTTGATTTTAGTCATCTCATATGTTTATATATTTTTATGACTTTTGATGGTCTTATAGATCTCAGATTTACTTGGGCAAGAAACTGCACTTTGTAATACACTATGGGCACTGAAAGATGCTGCTCAGAAAACATTTTTTGATATTTTAAAAGTTCGAGGAGAAAAGCTTTTGCGGTATCCCCCACTTGTTGCTGTTGATCTTTCCCCACCAACAGCAGTGAGGGAAGGGGTATCTGTACTTCTTGAAATAATTGACACCTACAACAGCATGATGGTTCCTGCTTCAGGCCAAAAACCTGCTTTTGGTCCAGTTATATCTGCTATACTGGATCCAATAATTCAGGTATGCTTCTCAATCTCTTACCTGCATATGATAATTGATAACATAATCTTTCTGTGTAGTCATGAAAGAAAATTATGTGAATTTTGTGATTATTGTTATAAAATTTGACCTTTGTAATATAATATGGTCACTTACATAATCATAGTCCTTGAAAATATTTGTACTTGACATTTTAGCCAATATATGACACAGTTACGTGGTGTAAAATTCAGATGTAGAACTTGTGCCCTTGGATCCCTACATTTTCTTGTATGAAACTTAAGAATTTTCTTCTGGGCTTTTGTGACTTAAATTCCACTGTGTTGCCTGATGATTTGAAAATCATGCTTGCATACTCCATCAATGATGAACTAGTTGCTTTACCACTGAGCTCAAGGATTTCTTGAATGACTGTAGGTTTGGACTGCTAGTTAGTTAGTCACTATTTAGTTTTCTTTACTGATATTAGGGTTTTTGATTTGGGATTTATACTTTTAGGAATTTTGTACATGTCTCGTAAAGTTTAATTGTGGAAGAAATAATCACGTATATTTTAAAAGTTATCATAGAAAGTTGGCAAAAACAAACAATTACTTCTTTAAACGTTAAACAAGTTGGCATCTTTATATTTAGCAACTGTCTAACAATAGGCCCTTCCTATAGACCCTTGAACTATTTGGCTATTGAGTGATAATAATCAATTTTTTATTCAAACAGTATTTCATATTGTTTATAGGAGTACTGTAGATTTATTTTCCCGTGGTTCCCCATCGTAAAATATTCCCATTTGAAGACAGATCTAAATTCTGGCTATTCATTTTCCATTGGCTGTTTAATGAATCATAGAACATCATAGCTTTAGCTTCGTATTTGTTGCAGATGTGTGAACAAGCAGCAGAGGCACACAAGTCAAAGGGAATCGGTCACTTATCAAGGAGGAGTAGGACGAGTTCAGATTCTAGTCAACATACTAAATCATCAGTTGATGCAATCTTGTCAAATAGTAGCTCTGCTTCATCCTCACTGGTCCGTTCTTGCTCCTCTTTTTTCCATTTAACTTAATTTTCCATTCTTTTGAGTTTTGCAGATATTTTCTGTTTGTAGGATTTTAGTTTTTGTTTTTTTTTTCCTTTAACAAAATTCTGCTTCTGCTACAAAATTTATTCTCTGCCTTTTTAATTATTTTTTTCCCATTTTATAGAATATATATATATATATATATATATATATATAGAGAGAGAGAGAGAGAGAGAGAGAGAGAGAGAGAAAGAAAATGGTATTTAGTGCCTTTAAGGCACTAGTTAAGAAACACAAAGTGGAAATAATTCAATGGAAAAGGAAGAAAATTAAGTAAATAGAAACACTATGTCTTAAATATTTCTTAATCAGTGTCTTTAGTATACTCATTAGTAAGACAATATAAATCCCAATGATCTGCAGTTTTGTTTGTCTGCATGTGCTTCTCATCTGCCATGTTGGTCCATGAATCTATCTATACATCTTTTTAAAATCACTACGGCAATTAAATGAGAATTTTACTTGGAATCTAGATTCTGAAACATAAGTAATCTGTAATTTTACTGGAAATTTTCTAGGAGAAATTCCATGTCATGTTGTAAGTCTATTATCTTGTGGACCAGCAAATAAAGTTCCATATTCCAGGTAAGTGAAAGGAATATGGGAGATATTAAACATATATGCAATATATCCAATCTTCGTAATTTTTCAAAGTTCCTTGTAGAATTTTATGCAATAAAGTGGTTCTGTGCGACATTTGCCGTAACCCATACCATGTTTTGACAGACTAGTGAAACCCCTTCAAAGATCTTTCTCATTAACTGCTTATGTGCAATTCAACAACCTCTATCTGGATACGAGGCTGTTGCTGATTACGTGAATAGACTCGGAGCAATGATAGATAATCACTTACGTGTTCTTGTGGAAAAAGAAGCCGAAGCAATCTTGAGAAGATGTAATTTGTCAGAAAAGATGCCTCTGTTGCAGAATTCAATCCATAAGGAAGGGGAGAATGAAGTGAGTACCCCATTGGCTGAGAGGGAGGACACTAGTCCAGCCATTCTTTCGGAGTGTTTGAAAGCTCTATTTGGCCTTGTTTTGGGAAGTGAAAGTTCCCTGCCGGAATTTGAGCAGATGCAGGTTCCAAGGTTGCGTTCTGAAGCTTCTATTGGCGTGGCCAGGTCACTGGCCGAGGCTTACGAGCTTATCTATAAGGCTATTATGGATCCCAAAAATGGTTATCCTGACCCGAGGGCGTTGGCAAGGCATCCGCCTAATCAGATAAGAACTATATTAGGAATATAAGTTTTGTTTATTTGTTTAGCTCCCGACCTCTTGTTCATTATGGTCATTTTGATTGCTAATTACGTGTATAACCTCTCACTCACTCTCATTTGAGATTGCATTGCTCTACTATTAAATAGTTCTGTGATCTACTACAAAAATACTTTCTTATAAAAATTATCAAACGTATGATTTTTTAAACTTCGGTTGCCATTTGTTTTTTTGGGTCAGAATACTGGATCTTATCCAAACGAAAAACTATAGGCTATTTCTTCATGTATTCCGATAATACCCTTCTTCTTGGAAACATTCCGGATTGATGGATAAAAAAGATCCCAATTGGTACAATTGGAAGCTTTTTGTATTGGTAGATCCAGAATAGGTGTGGAGGAGAGGAGTTTACTTTCTGCATTAACATTGATAGTCATCTTGTATTTTATCCTATTTGCAATCCTGTAACTTTCTTTGCCACTTGATGAGTAGTTTGCCTCTCGAACCTTAATTTACATCATCACTGCTCATCTCGGGTTGCACCTTATTGACAGGTGATCACGGATATCCCGTACATACATATCCTGTATGGCATCCTCAATTCCCCTATGCAAATGTGATAAACTCCAAACTATCATGATATACTTGAATCGCGACTTGAGAACCTAATATTAGATATTAGCCATTCACATGATTAATGCTAACAATATGTAATGATATTTTATCATAACATACAATACTTCTTTTTATGCAAATGACCCCTTAGTAAAGTTGGAAACTGTTTTTAAAATCCATTGGTGTTGGATTTAAGACTCCTTATGGAAAGTCTAGATTGACAAGTGTCCCTTAATCAGCAAAGCAGCAGTAAATACTTCCTATAACCAATGTTTGTTTTCCGGATCAACTTTTGAAAGTGTTTTAGATCAATCTTTTGAAAAAATTTCGGACCCTCAAATCCAGAATTATGAGATTATATTCTGGATTGTTTAATATGAAACTTTAAAAAAAATTATATATTTATGAATTTACTAATTAAAAACACTCCTGAACATGTTAGGTAAAACTAAGATAATATTGTCCTTCCCATTAAGTGTGTGACTGCGGTGGGCAAGTAGAATTTATGGGTGTTGAAGAAAAAAGAGCCTAAACTATAAATGATATGCCCAGTCCAGTTGTGGTGTGCATCCAAATATATCAACATAAAAGATAAGTATGCTAAAAAGTGAGCAGCTTTGTTCCAATAGCAACGTTACTTTTTATCTGAAAAATCGAGATTTATAATACTATATGATTCATCATTAATTTTATTTTATTAAAAACTTTTTAATAAAAGTTACATGAAACAATTATAAGATTTTTCTAATAAAAAAATATTTTAAATAACTAATATTGTATTTAAACAATTCAATAAATAATTTATATTAAAAACACTTTAATATTTTATACGAAATTATTTCAATAATATAATTTAATATTTTCAAACAACACCACACTGGTAGTCATTTTGCAATCCACTGTTTTCGACCTTCTTTTGCCAATTTCATTTAGACTGACATGCGCAGTTATCTTTTAAGATAATAATAAAATGACAATCTTAAAACTTTACAACCACCACTACCTTAAAAATGACAATCTTAAAACTTTACAACGACATTTACCAGCAAAGTTAATCTCAAATAAATACGCTTGACCCCTAAGAAAAAAAAAAAGACTAATACTTACGGAAAAAAAAAACATTTACTTACCTCTTTTACAAGGAGTAACTTACTTTTAAAATAGAAAAATATTATTGGAATTGAAATTAAGGGAATACTTGTCGAATACGTGATAGGTCTAGGTAAAACTGATTCTAATTTTTCTTTATTATAATTTTGAGTTTGGATTTACAGATAACAAAATGTGTTTGAGAAACAAAAATTTAGTAAAAGTGAGATAATTGGAAAAGACAGGTTTCTTTCCAGTGGGAATTAATCATCTTCCACTGGTCGATGAATACTTCGTAATTGTAATACAATGGCAAAAAATGCTTAATCTCTCTAAATTTGACTTATTTTAAAATATGCATTTTCAAATTCCATTCTATTCAAATTTGACTTATTTTAATGTTATCTATTCAAATTTATCCTTAAAAATTATTTAATTTATAAATAGATAACATTAACTTTAATTCCATTATAATTAATCCTTAAATTTATCTATTTTGTAAATAAACACTTTAAATTTAATTTCATCTCAAATAATTTTCAAAATTTTATTCCTTTAAATGGTCTTTTATATCAAATTTGGCTTCAACTTCAGTCCTTAATTTATTTTAATTATATATATTTGTTAGTTTTCCTTTTATGAATCACGTTTCCTACATTCAAACATAATAAAAATTCAGAACTAAATCACTCAATATAAATCTTGTAGTTTTATTTTACCATTTGTTTGTTTTTATCATTTTTTTTCTAAATTCATATTCTTATTATATGTTGACATACAAATAATGAGCTGTAACAAAAGAATTAAAAGTGTAATGCGTTTTTTTTATATATATTTAAGATGAATAATCTAAATCTATCCTCACATAAATAACTATTTGTAAAACGATATGTATTTTTTTTAAATCAACTAGAATGTAATTATAAAGTGGAAGTGTTATTTTATAAATTTATGGTGTTTGCTCATAAAGAATGTAAATTTTTGATAAAATTTAATCTTAACTATCTTTTTTTTTAAGTTAAAGTTGAATGAGGTTAAATATTTTTTCCAAATAAATGAAAATAAAACTATTCTAAAATAATTTAAGCGAGCGAATATTTTATTTACGGAAAACTATATTTAGTATTTAGCATTATCAATAGTTAATATATCTTTTTTTCTGAAAAATTTAAATAAATGGTTTAAAGGAAAAATATATTAAAATAGTTTTTCAAAATAATATATTATTTAATATATATATGATTAAATAAAATTTATAAAAATTTCATTACATAATTTCAGTTTCATTTTTGTTTAATAAATACTATATTTGATTCATTTGGTAAAATCTATTTTTGATGAAGACGAAAATAGTCTACTTTGTAACTTCGTACACATTATTCAATACTGCTTCAAAAATTAGCAACTGACATATTATATAAATTTTTGGTTATTTTTTCGCAGAATATAAATTATTAATTAATATTTTTATATTTTTAACTAGTAGTAAATTAAGATAATTATTATAAAAATTTACTATTATAACGATACTTAAAATGGAATGATATTCCCTTTTTGTATAATAACAAAATATTCATAACAAAATATTGTTGTCTAATAATTTCATGTAGAATTTATATATAATTGTAATATATTTTATTAATAAAATGACAATAATTATATAAATAAAATGGATAATCAAGAACATTTTATATTTTATCATTAATATATTATAAAAAAATTTCCAAAAAGTGTGGCTGTCAATTATTTTCATTGTTAGTCAGGCTGCGGTTTAAAAGATTTAGTTTGTGGTCTGATGAAGAAAAAAATAAAAAATTGCAATTGATAATATTATTTAATTTATTAAAAAGATTAAACAATAAAATATATTGATGAATGACAAAAAAATTATATAGTTTCAATAAATATAAATATAAATTAGAAATGATATATAACTTAATAAAAATAATTAGTTAATAAAATATAATTATTTAATAAAATAGATAAAAATAAATTAAAATTAATTTAAATAAATTAGAAATAATTTTCTTATATTTCATAAACATATTTATATTTTATAATTTTTTTATAACAATTTATTAATAATATTAAAATATATAATTTATTTTAAAAATTTAGTATATTTTTTATATAATTAATTATAAGTAAATTATATATATATATATATATATATATATATATATATATAATATTTCAAATTAGATAAATATTTGTTTCAAGAACAGTCATGGTCTATTTTTTCAACTAACTTTCCCTATTTCTTCCTTAGATTGGACGTTATAACATCACGTGTATCTCATTTATTACATCGTTCGACACACACAAGAACCATCTAATTAAATATGTTTATTCCTTCTTTCAACATCAACATGAAAGAATGTTTGCTCCACCGACACTCTTTTAGTGAAAAAAATATAAAATAATACGAAAATATATTTAGATAACTCACTTCTTTAAATACAATCTTTGGACCATTTCATTTAACAATATAATAATAAATTTTATTTTTTTAATGAATTTTTTTATAATTATTATATTAATAGATTTGATTGTTTAATGAATGTCTGTAATATGATGGTACCACACTGATGGATGGATAAAAAAACTTATAAACCAAAATATAATTTTCTTTATTTCAAATTTACATAAATATTTTGAATACGGAGAATGTGAATTAACAAAATTATTGTGAAGTATTTTTTTTTTTACAAGTATTCTTAAATTTATTGCAAACCGAATTATTCACATAAACATGTATAAATTATAAGTTAAGACCAACTAAAAGTTAAAATATCTTTATCCACAAATTTTTTTCTTTTCTTTTCTTTTTCAATAAAATAACAAAATTAAAAAGTATTTAAATATTAAAATGAGTTTAATTTAATACACTTACCAAATAAATAAATCAAATTAGATTAATTAGATTATAAAATTATGATTTAAATTATTTTAGTTGTTGTTTAAATTATGTTATACATGGATTTATATCAATTAATCATATACATTATCTTATTTTATAAAATAATAATTATTTTTAAATAAAAATAAATGTGATATTTTATTAATATATATATATTATAAATTAATTTGATAAAAATAAATAAATTTTTAAATTTAGATTATATGAATTTATTATCTTAAATTTTGTATATTAAATTATTATATTTTAAATAAAAATTAATTTTATTAATATAATTTAAATTTAATTTTGTATTTAAATATTTTAAATTAATTATTTTAGTATAAATACACTAATATTAAAAAAAAAATCAAAATTAATCTATTAACTCATCTACTAATATTAAATCAAACTAAACTAAAATTGTAATTTATTTAAAAATATATAATAAATAAATTAAATTTACTTTATGAGGAGAAAGGGATAACCCTACCCATACGAGTGAGAGGACTACGTGTTTAATTTCAAGAGGGAACGGATTGTGCTTAAAATACTCATTTAATATTATTTAACTATTTTCTTTTATAAAATATTTCTCTCTTTATCATACAATTTTAAAACATTTTATTTACATTAGTTTAATTTTATTTCCATCTACTGAATATATATTAACAACTATTGGTATGCACAGATAAAAAGATAATATTCTTTAATAAGGTAGAAGATATTTTTCAAAAATCAGATGTTGATTTTTTTGGTTTCATTTTAACAAAAAATAAAATAAAATTATGACAAGATACAAAGAGTAGAATAGATAAGGATAAGTTGTGTATATAGAAAGAAACTATATTTTAAAATCTATTTTCATCTTTTAACTTAATTATATTTTTTATTTTTATTTATTACTTTTTTTTAATTTTATTCTATTATATTTCTTTTCTATAAATTTCATATTTATATCTTAAATTCTTATTTGTTGGATCTCATCTTACTTTAATATAATCTACAAACATTTATATACTTACTACAAAAATTTATGCAAAATAATATTTTATTAATAATAAAGTTATTTATTAAAGTTTTAACATTACTTTCGCATTGTTCTAAAAAAAGACATTACTTTTGTTCTACTCCCTACTGGTCCCTGCATCGGATAAGGATCCTCCAGTACTTGAAGAAATAGCTGGGATAGGTCAGTATCAGTGTTATATGTTTGTTAATATTTGTTTGATTAAGTATGGTCAACTATTTATTTAATTCCAAAGTATTCAACTTTTTTTATATTTATAAAATTTATTTTTAAATCTTTTTCCTGATATATTATTTAAAAATATTTTTTTTTTCAAATTAAACTCAACATATCGCAAAAAGTGAGAAAATAATATTTGCAAAATTTGTTTAAAAATTAATCATATAATTTCTTCAATTTGATTTAACACGAAACATCATCGTAAAGATTCGTGCATATCTAAAAGAAGCACAGGACATCTTAACCCCTCCACATCAATCAGCTTGCAGTTTCTGACAATGTTTTCAACAGCACAAAAAATCGTGCAGTGCACAATTTGTTGCCAACAACCTAAAAGTTTCAGATATTTTTCATGACTAAAACATTGTTTTTTTAATAATAATATCGGTGACAACACATTGTTTGTCACTGTCAGATAGTGATTATACATACAATAATAAATTTTTTCATTGTCAGATATTTGAAAAATGACTCATGGTGGATTAAGTTGTATCAGAAATATAGCTATACACGCAAGATCCACGCCATCGGTTGAGATAAGACTTGGAGCTTACCAAACCATTCCACAAAATTAATCAAAACAAAATTAATATTCAAACATACTTAGCCAAGAATGTCCTATATGTTTGCTTACCAGTCGAATTGTTTTTGAAACACGAAGATAGAATAAGTCTTGGGTCACGTTTTCAAAAAGCATTCAACAACCCCGTTTTAGATTCTGTAATGGCAGAGGGTTTAGACTCAATGGGAATAGTATCAATGGGGGGTGTGGCGTGGAAAGCCCATTTGGGAATGGCACTCTCCCAGCTATTCTATGGTGGCTACCATGTAATCACAAAAGTGGCTCTTAACGATGGCGTCAACCAACTTGTTTTCTGCTTCTATAGAGATCTCCTTGCCTTCACTATTCTTGCTCCCCTTGCCTTTTTCCTTGAAAGGTGTGTTTGTTTCTCCTCCTCCTTCAACTGTATATCACTGATTGTGCTGTAAATAAAGAATCTAATTGATATATTATGAGAGTGTAAAACTTGTTTTTTTTTTTTTTTTTTTTTTAAAATCTTTTATCCGTTTTTTATGCAAAAGTTTAAAGATGAGTACATCTTAGATTATAGAAATAATAAATTCCTTATGTGCACTTAGCAAAATTTATACTATTGGTACTATTTACTGAGCATATTCTAATTGGGGCTGTTGCATGGTCCTAATTGTTAAAGATGTAATGTATGCTTTGATCTAAATGGCTAAGTTTTTGGAAATAGTCATCAATAGTATTGGAGCATATATGACCAAAGGGTGTAGGGTACGATCTTACCTCCCTCATTTTTCTGATTAATTGCTTAATTTCAGCACAAATTGTGTGATAGGACATGCTAGAGATGAAATATAAAACCTTCTTGAGTTTTCATCTGAACACATGGTAGAGATGTATATGTTTGGTTAAATGTTAAAATGGGGCAAATTGACTTTTGATGTCAACGACACAAAATGTTGCTTGTTTATTTCATGCTTGTTGAAAGGTGTAAACTCCCACTTACACAAGCAGGTTCCCAAACACATCTCTAGTAGTTGATTCATAACACTAATTTTATGAAAATGTACTCTGTAGTTTTTCTTCCTTTTAATTTAGAGCATTCTCGGAATTTAACTGATATGAATTGGCTTATCCTTCTTTGAGGTTCATAATCATCATCTAAAGTCTGGTCTAGAAATGTTCTACTTATGCTTGTCTATTGCTAATGGTTCTAGAGACCTGTATGATGACGATGATGACCTTCTTTGCACATTTATTTGTGCTCTCTTATGAGTTGTGATGGTATTTTCTTTAGCTAATTATACATTTTTACCGTACTGACTATAGACGGACTAGACCACCCATTACCAAGAAGCTATTGATGTCATTCTTCTTTCTTGGATTGACCGGGTAAGATTTCTTGCTATATTCACTTATTTCCTATATGAATGGGATAGTGTTTTATTGCTGCATAATATTTTTTTTTCTTCATGATTCATGATCAGGATATTTGGCAACCAGCTTTTGTTTCTTATTGGTTTAGGTTATACTAATCCAACTTATGCTGCTGCTGTACAGCCAACCATTCCAGTCTTCACATTTATTTTTACTGTGATGATGGGGTTAGTTTCACTCTTATCCATTTCTTCAGCGTATTCAAATGTCTATATTAACATATAGAATGTATTTATTAATCATTAACTCATCTTTTTTCGAGTACACAGACAAAAATGCACAATCATATTGTAGTACAGAAATTTGTACATTCATAAGTTGTTCATACAGACCAGGACACGAAATAATGTATGCTTAATAAACTCATTCTTGCAGCATAGAAAGACTGAACTTGCTCAGATATGAAGGTCTGGCAAAGGTTGGAGGAACTCTTATATGTGTTTCGGGTGCCATATTTATGGTTTTCTATCGTGGTCCGGTTCTGATAGGAGGTACAGAAATGGATAAAGTTGCACAAATTAGTAAACTAAGTGCCAGAGACCAACCAGAGGCTTCTGGATGGTTAATCAACAGTTTACTTGATATTGGATTTGACAGTTTTCAGCTTGGGGTTGTGTTCTTGATAGGGAACTGCATCTGCATGGCTGCTTTTCTGGCCATTCAGGTATCTAAATTTTTGTTATACTCATTAAGGGACACTTATTAAAATAAAAATCTATTATAAGACTTCTGATTCTAGCATCAGGAAAAGAAATTATCTGTTCACTTCTTTCCATATTATTCATTTACTATGCTCCTGTTCTATTTATTATTTTCATAGGAGGTTGGAATGACTGTTTCTCATTGAGTCTTCTAACGTGTTATTGTACCCCAAATTAGGGGGAGGGGGAATGGGGTGAGGGAAGATATGTTGTAATATATTGATTTATGCATTCTGAAAACAAAAACTATAGGAGCCCAGCCCACTCTTTATAAACTCTTTTGGTCCTATTTCCCTCTATTCCTAATATACCCTTAATAAAATCACACTTTGATATTGGACAACTTCACAAAACTTTTTCACATTTTTCTTTTCAATTCTTTGGATTAAATTTATCATTAGTTTTCCAATGATTCTCACATGACATTACTTATTGCTAAAAAGGGCAATCTTATAATTACATCGTTTTGTGAACTGATTTATTATGATATTCAGTTATTTGATTTCTGAGATTGTTGCCATGTTTAATATATTGCAATTCATTATTTTCAGGCACCAATATTGAAAAAATATCCTGCTAATCTATCCGTCACGGCATATTCATTCTTCTTTGGTGTTGCACTGATGGTGATTGCATCATCTTTCATGGTTAACGAGTCAACTGACTGGATTTTGAGGCAACCAGAGATTCTAGCAGTTGCATATTCTGTGAGTCACTGGAATTTTAAATTAGTCTCCATTGCACGAACTCTTATTTGTCATTTCTGATAATTTTGTCCATTACTTCATGAAACCATTTATATTGTCTTCTAAACCCTTTTTTATTGTTTATTAGCTTGTTCAGTTGACAATGAGACATCACTAACACCATGAAATCCTTCAAATATAATTACAGAAAACTTTTTTTTTGTAAGATCTCAATTTGATATTTCAATTCTCGTGTCTATGTTTATTTACTAACATGTTGGTATTAAAAAAGAAGCAAAGCTGGTATTGACCTTATTGGCAACAGCCACAATACTGCTCTACCTGATAGTATCAATGTTTGAGAGACGTGAGAATAACATGGGATTTTGGTGTGATGTTATTGTTCAACAATTTGTTCTACCTTATTGTTCAATCATAACTGTTAAATGCAGAGCAAAAATGAGTGGCAGTGTAGCACAGAAGTCAAAGATCACGTCTGTGTCACTGAAAATTGTATTTAAGTAATATGAAAGCGGAAAACAAACCACTGAAATTAAGCAATTAAGGGATGAAAATATTTGAAAGTCTTCTATGTTGAGTTCCTGCATAGGGTTTAATTGACTCACCTTCTCATGGATTATTTGGTGCTTTATTAACACGTAGATTTTGACAAAAAAGTCTCCTTATTTGTTCAGGGAACTATTGCATCTGCTCTTAACTATGGAATCATTACATGGAGCAATAAGATCTTGGGGCCAGCTTTGGTTTCCCTTTATAATCCGCTTCAACCTGCATTTTCTGCCTTCCTGTCCCAAATTTTCCTTGGCACTCCAATTTACTTGGGAAGGTATACTTCTACCACTTCAACAAATTGATGCATTCTTTTCTAACTTAACTTCACCATGCCACTATAAACCTACACTCACCACTGTAGAGGGTAAGACTAAAACATTACAAAAAAAAGTATAAACAATGCAGAGACACCGTCACTGTATAAAAGTTAAATTTTAAGGAGTGAAAATGGAAGAATTGAAAGCTTAATAAAATGCAATATCTAGTTGAAACCTATGGAAGTTCCAACTTTTCTATTGCATTGCACTGAGATTATTGTATTTAGAAGCTTATTTTGGTTCTTGTTCTTATTTTGTGGTCCATGTGATGATAGCATCCTAGGGGGATCTTTGATCGTTGCTGGTCTCTATATAGTTACTTGGGCATCCTATAGAGAGAAACAAGAAACTTTTGTAGTTACTCCTAATGGCTCTTGGATCTCTGAACCACTTATTCATGAAAAAGGTGAATATCAGAATTCAGGATCCTCCAATTCACTATCAAAGCCAAGCTCATCAAATGAATGGTTGAATGACAATGTGCCGTGAAGACTGATTCTTGAATTTATTCTTCTTATCATTCTCTCGTGGTTCTTGAATCTGTTCTTGTTATAAATTTTAAATGGGACGTGTCTGTATTTGATCATGTAGATGTAAGAGTAGTTTGTTTGAGTGAAGTCTTATTGTGAAAAATGTAATATGGTATCTGTATTTTTTAAATTTTGACATACTCGGAAATTTGAGATGTATATTCAAAGTTTAGTGTTAGATTTTTTCACCGTTCAATATAAGATGTAGTTAAATGTTTTGTTCTATTGAGATGTATGTTTCATAAAAAACCAAACAAGTAAGAAGAATGAAAACCACAAAATGAATAAAAACAAATCAGAAATAAAAAAATTTGATAGTATTTATTTAATTAAAAAAGTTAAAAGGAAAATAAAAATATTTGAATGAAAATAAATAAATAATTAAAATAAATATTAATGAAGTTTACTCTATTTTTATTTTATTTCGGTTCGGACAAAAAAAACATTTTTTCTCCCATTTGTATGTTCCAAACAAATTGGACATTAAAAGTTGTTTAAAACTTTTTAGTAGCAACTTTAATGGGTACCTAATATTAGCTATTTTTCAAAATTAAAAAAAAGGTAAAATGTGATCGAATAAATAATTATATGTAATTTTTTGGTAAAAAAACTAAGTATTTTTTTTGAAAAGTTAATTATTATTTTAAAATTGATTAATTGAATAGTTGATAACGTATAACAATCTTTTAATTTTAAAATATTTAATTTGTTAGGTGAAATTTATTTTCTCTTCTCTCTTCCAAATTTATTTCCTCCTTTATTCTTTTTATCCAAAAATAACTATTGTTTAATAATAATAATAATAATAATAATAATAATAATAATAATAATAATAATAATAATAATAATAAAACTTAATTCTTCTAATGAAAAGTTCTTCAGAAATGATGATATGTTTGCATTATAAGACATACTAGCCAGAGACATGATGATATTTTCTCTCTCTGTTTTGCATTTTTCTTAGCATTGAGATTTTTACGGCTTTAGAAGAATTTTTATCGCAATTACACAACATTATTTTCTTCTCCTTTCTTTATTAGAATATATGAATACAAATTAGTTTTTTCTTCACTTGCTGAGATATTGAGATTGAACGCTTTGTCATGTATATTAAAAACTTAAAACCTCTCAATGAAACAATTTATATACGTGGTTCATAAAGGTGTTGAAAAATAACGTGTAAGGTAACATTTTACACGGAATACAAATAAAAATTTTCATATAAACGATAAATTTTAAAATTATATTTCATTTATAAATATCTCTAGCTGTAAATTTATTCAAAAATAGTTATCAAAACTTTACTTAAAGTATTTAAGAAAATATTTATATTTATGTTCAAGTTACTTTACTAGTACTTATCAATTAGATATATTGAACATAAATACTTTTTTTTTACGTATTTGATATTAATATTTTTAGATATTTTACCACTTTTAAATTTTTTTATATTTAATACAACACACACACACACACACACACATATATATATATATATATATATATATATATATATATATATATATATAATGATAAATAACATTCTATTGAAATATTTAAAAAAAATACAATGAAGTGTACTACTATTCCTCTATGGAATTAATAAAAAAAACTTTACAGTGATAATTATTTCTAATTTTTATTTTAATAATATGTAAAAATTTAATTGAAGTTAGATTTACATAATTATACTTATATTTATTTTATCTTTAATAAAATAATAAATTTGTTTTTATATCTATAATTTTTTTTAATTTTTTAAATATAAACATTTAAATATTAACAATGACTCACGTATATATTGGTTTTTAATCATGTTATTCATTATAAAACTTAAATAAATAATTTACAATATTTCATATTTTTTAGTATTATATTAATTTTTAATTAAAACTCAAATATTAAAAATAAATTTTGATTATTATATATCAAAATATATAGTATTAAAAAAACAAGATATTAATTTAAAAAATTATTAACTTGTAATTATATAAATATTTAATTTTAGTTAATTAATTAATTTTTTTTAAAATAAACATATTTTTCTATCAAATAACGAGTATATATATATATATATATATATATATATATATATATATATTATTTATTTTTATATTACCCGACCCTCAATTCTAATTCTCACATCTATTTATTACTATGGTTTTCTAAAATTCCCTATTGATAATTAAAGTCAGATTTAAAACTTGATTTTAGTTTAATTAGTATAAACTACAAATTTGCTAAAAAATTAAAAATTCGTCTCTCTGTTTGAGTATTTATGTAAATATCCATTATTAAATGATGATAATTAATATTTATTATGTGAGCTCACATATAACAAAAAACAAAATAAATTTTTTACACTGATTATTTTATAACTTGGATTAATGATGATCTTTGATTGATTACTCACATAAAACAGTTTTGCACAGTCAATACATATCAATATTAGAGTATTAAAAAACAAATCATTTTCTTTATTACCGAAAAAAAGAAAAAATTTGTATGCCGAAGTCCAGTCAATCGAAATTTGAGTGAGACTATCCACTCTTATCTCCCAGCCGATCATAGTTTCCACAACCTTTGCTTCAAGATTTGAAGACAATCTACACTTATAATGTTCACTTATTTGTTTGTTTAATCTTATTCTGTGTCAGTGGCTTCGGAACTAAGCATTGCGGTTGGTTTTGGCATCACTGTTTCAACGATCGAACTAACCCAACAACCCCATTTGGTGTTTTAGAGGGTGTCGGAGTTGTTGTAGAGAGTGGATTCATTCCAATGGGAGCAGCTGGAGTTGGAGTGGGTGTGGGGGGTGACATATGGAAGGCCCATACGGCCATGGCGATGGTGCAGCTTTTCAATGGCATCTACCATGTCATCACCAAAGTGGCCCTTAATGTTGGCGTCAACCAATTAGTCTTCTGTGTCTTTCGCGATGCCATTGCTCTTTCAATCCTCGCACCCCTTGCTTATATTCGTGAAAAGTATGCCCCTTTTTCTATTCAAGATTGTGTTTTTAATGTTTTTCAAATCCTGTGAATATGCCCCCTTTTGTTCTGTTGTTTACCTCGGTTGGATGCCATTGAAAGAGATTCCTCCCTCTTAACCAGGCCTTTGGTTTCACCATTTATTTATTTATCGGTTCCACTTTTAAAAAAGTTGAGTATTGCGGATTCAATCGGTTAGGATTGGATGTTTAAGCCCTTTTTCTTGTTCCACAGTTTGGAAGGATGGTGATGTTTGCAACAGTCTGATTGTTTGCATGTGCTTGTTACAGATAAGGGGAACTGGGCTTTTGAGTCTCTGAGTTATGTGTTAAGACAATATTTCTATGACCATTGGAGTGTTTGGATCGTAGGGTAATTCTAGTTGTATGAAAACTTACAGTCGTGTTCATTGATATGTGGACCTTTCTGCCTGATAATTTTAGTGCACGCTCAATATTTAAGTAATATCATATAGACTATACGTTTGTTTGCATGTTTGATGCATTTAATTATATTCTAAAATCTGTTTTTAGAAATGTAATGCATGGTTGTGGATATGATTCCGGAGTTCCATGATTGATACATCAAAGGATGACAACCTTTTGTTGTTGTGGGTGTTGCAGCACATGTTACTGATCTGTACATTTAACCGTACTTCACATTCAATCTTTAGATTTAAAATTGTAACTTGCAACTTTTTGTTCCTTCCTATGTCTTGTCATACTATTCTTTTCTTTTTGTTGAGTGGATATCTTAATCATGCCATGTTGGAATGTAGACGGATTCGACCACCCACTACTAAGAACCTCCTGGTTTCATTCTTCTTTCTTGGATTAACTGGGTGAGGCTCTTTATACTACTTATTTCCCATTTCCACGGTATATGAAAGATATGGTGCTTTATTGATGCATTCTTGATTCATGATCAGGATATTTGGCAACCAGCTTTTGTTTCTTATTGGTTTAAGCTATACTAATCCATCTTATGCGGCTGCCATACAACCGGCCATTCCGGTCTTTACCTTTATGTTGGCTGTAATGATGGGGTCAGTTTCATGTCTCTTGTATTATTTATCCATTTCAAATTGTATACGTGTGTATTCTGTAACTCAAACAAAAATACACAATCTCACTTGTAGTGCATAAATATTTACATTAATAAACTTATTCAGATACACTGGTCATACAATAACATGCATCTGTGTAAACTTTTTCATGCAGTACAGAAAGAGTAAACCTAGCCAGATATGATGGTCTGGCAAAAGTTGGAGGAACCATCATCTGTGTTTCTGGTGCCATATTAATGGTTTTGTATCGTGGTCCAGCTTTGATAGGACATGCTCCAATCGATCATGGTACACAAAATGAAATAAGTGCCAAAGGACAGCCAGAGCCAACTGGATGGTTAATTGGTGCTTTACAAGCTATCGGGTTTGACCGTTTTCATCTTGGGGTTCTGTGCTTGATTGGGAACTGCATTTGTATGGCTGCGTTTCTAGCCATTCAGGTATTATATTTTTTAAGTATTCATTAAGAGACTGCTTGATTACATAATTAAGAGGAAAAAGTTAGTCATCAATTTCACATTTTGCCTGTGTTACCCTTTTACCAAGTCCCAACTTCTCTGTGCCATTCACCTGGGAGGCTGAGATGACTCTATATGTTCTTGCTTATTAGGAATCTTCTTTTCACTTAAATCCCCATGATAAGAAAGTTATGATACCCTGCCAATTTTCAACATTCCAACTTCTTTTCATGTCTCATGATTTAGATTAACAGTGTAGGCCTGGGATAGTTGTAATTGGATAATTGCTTCTATTGCAACCACTTCTTTCATATTCTAATTCTTTCTATGAATTTCACTTCCCTATGACCATCTATTTTCAGTTTGGGGGCATATCAAAATAAGGTCCCCTAATATTTTGGTCAAGTGTTTGCAGAATTATGAATAACTTAATTTTTTCCCTCCCTCTCCTCAATCCTCCTGCATCAAAACAAACTCTTAATAAATATACTTAGATTAGATAGGATGACCTCTCCAGGCTTTTCATGCTTATTGCAGTAAATAAAATTGTCGATAGCATCACTCTCAGCATCAGGTCATTGACTCATTACTCATTCCTAATTTCTTCATTGATCAAATTAGTGCTGATTCCTAACTTAACCAATTAATATTTTGGGATCTTAGGTTCTTTAACATGTGAAATTATTGGTGTTTTTAAATTGTTACATTTAACTGTTTTCAGGCACCAGTATTAAAAAAATATCCAGCAAACATATCTGTCACAGCATATTCATACTTATTCGGAACTTTACTGATGGTCACGGTGTCATCATTCGTGAATACCGAGTCAAGTGACTGGAGTTTGGCATCATCAGAAGTACTTGCTGTTATTTATGCTGTGAGTCACTAGAATTTTTAACCAGATTCCAGTCTTGAGCTCTTTTTAGTTATTAATTATGATTTTGATCTACTTGCTTCATTGAATGATTGAAGTTGTCTTCTAAAAATGGCCCCTTTTTTATTGTTTGCATTTTTCTGTTCGACACATTAGACTATCAATTGTTGACTGTTGTCTATCTGGTAAAGGAAAGCATTCTCAGTTGTTGAAGTGGAGTCATTGTTGTAATGAATGGTCGTACTTTGTTAGTAATCAAAGTTTTCATGTTTTGGGGCACTACTCTTAGTATTATCGAAATTGGAAAACTTTGAAACAGAAGGTTGTGTCTTACATGAGATAGGAGGTTGCATCAATCTTTGTTAGATGTTTTTCAAAATTATTTGAGTATATAAAGATTATTTTTTATCTGCTAAGTATGGTTGCCTTAAAAATGTTCTCCTCTATCTTGCCACTGCATGTGCTTTTACGAGTTTATCTTAGTCTTGGGTTTTAGCTTGATAATATTAGTATAGAAACTTTTTTAACTATTTTTTTGAATAATTTGGTGTTACTGTCATCCGTTTAAAAATTGTTAAAAACGTTTCGCAGGGAGTGAAAAACCTTTGTTTGGCATTATAAAGAATTCTACACTAAATGAATTCGATTTACACCATTCATCTTTTGTTTTTTATTTCAACTCTAAATCCATTTCTGTTGTTACTCATCTTATTCTATGTTGCATTTGATTATTGATGAGAATGTTTAAACTCCATAAGTATTCCACAATATCTTTGTTTTTTCTTTTACTATTTGTGTTGCATTTGATTATTGATGAGAATGTTTAAACTCCATAAGTATTCCACAATATCTTTGTTTTTTCTTTTACTATTTGTGAAAGACATTAAGCACTTTACATATTTGTTCATATTTAAAACCTTTCTTGTTGACATCATGTACAGTTGATTTTTGTTATTCACCTCTTGGATAGCCCAAGGACTTATAAATCGTACTTTAGAATCCCATACTTTCGATGTGTGACTCAAGTCCCATCTATACCTTGTAATTAGATCCTAATAGCCCACCACGCTCCAGTCCTCAAGCCGATGCAAGATGGTTGTTAACTAGCCATTTGATTAACTCTCAGCTAGACACTGCGATGCTGGCATCACTACCTATGCCGCTCGTTTTGTTATGAAATATGGTTTTAATAAGTTGTTAGTTAACAGTTGAGTTAGTGGGTTATAAATGCAACTATTGCTCTTGCATGAAAATATTTAGTTTTGGGATATTCATTGTTATTCTTCCTTCTTCTTAATACACATTTCTCCGAACCTTTCTTGTCTTTGGGTTCCCTATTTCTGTTCTAGTTCTTCAAGTGCAATTATTCCTAGAACTAGTTTTATTCACAACAAGTTTCCTGCTAAGAAACATGGTGAAAAGCTCTATTACTAATCAATAAGCACTCAAAAAGTTGAGGAACCTTCTCTTAAAAACTAACTAGTAAGGGGGGAGTATCGAGTATCCACACTACCTAATGTGAAACTTTTGTACCCTATAATACTCAAGTACCTATCATCTTACCATCAGAAACCACACCACTGTTTTTACCTAGGGGCAGCAATAGTTGAGAGTAAGATGGATTTTGCTGTTAGTTCAGCGATTTACTCTTTCTGGTGAAGCAATATTTTTAAATGGAAGACAAAACGAGGATTTTATTGAAAATTGTATTTAGGGGCGTGAAAACTAGTGAAGTAGAGTGCAATGAGGGTATTTTGATATCCCATGTGTCTTACAAATATTTTGATAGATTATCTTATAATACATTATTTTGGTAGATTTTTTAGCATGAAGATCTTGACAAATATATTTCCTTATTTGTTCAGGGAACTGTTGCATCTGCACTTAACTATGGACTCATTACATGGTGCAACAAAATCTTGGGGCCAGCCATGGTTTCCATTTACAATCCGCTTCAACCTGCGTTTTCAGCCATCCTGTCACAAATTTTCCTTGGAAGTCCAATTTACTTGGGAAGGTAAAGCTCCTTTTATTGCCAGTTGTTGATGCATTCTGTTCTAACTAGTAGTTCCTCCTCTTTCTTTAGCATGACAAATTGAAAGTAATTTAGAAGTTTCTTATTATTCTGTTCTAACATGAATGTGTCGCAGCATCATAGGAGGATCTTTTATCATTACTGGTCTATATTTGGTTACTTGGGCATCTTTTAAAGAAAAACAAGCAAATCTTGGAGGTGGAGTTGCTGCTCATGCCTCTTGGGTCTCTGAACCACTTGTTCACGACAGAAGTCCACTCCAGAAAGGTCACCCATTTTCGGGGTCCTCCACCGCTTCCCCAAAAGCATTATCAGATTAAGGAAATTAGTTAGTAAGTGCCAGTCAATTGTAAAAATTGGTCTCGTGATTCACAATTCATGCATTTGATAAAGTCCATGTATTTCGGAACAAACTGTCAATGTTCTCATTTTATATTTGAATTTTGAAATTCAATCAGAAGGCTGAATCCTTCATGTGCTCATACCTTGGAAAGGGTTCTCGCAATGTTCAGAAAACTCCTGGTGGCCTCATCTTCCGCCAGAGATGGAACAACATGCAGTTTGTCACAAGTGCCTCATTTTTAGCCACTGTCTATTCTGACTACCTTGCTTCTTCTGGTAGAAACTTGAGATGTAATTCAGGAAATGTTGCTCCTGCTGAGCTTCTCTCCCTTGCAAAGTCTCAGGTAATTCCACCCCCTGCTTTCCCTTTCATAGTTTCACTTGGTTAGCTGTTCCTGATAATATTTGTCTCTATTTAAAGTTTTAGTTCTTATGTAGTGAAAGTGCAAGTTTTAGTCTCTACGCTGTTTTTTATTATGATGGACTATCACTGCCTAAAGTTGTTTTAGTTATTATTAGTCCCGTATTGAATAATTTACTCAAATCATTGAAATGAAAATACTATATAATTAAGTTTTCTATCTAATTAATATTCACTGCATACCTTTTTAATTTTGGGGAGCTGCATACCAACGGAGGTAATAATATAATTTTTTTTTTAATTAAAATACTATATAATATAAAATTATTTATTATTGTTATTTATTATTTCTTTTTATTATTGTTTTTTATTATTATAATTTATAAAATTATTTATTATTAAATTACATAATAAATTTTTTTATTTTGATTATAATTAATAAAATTATTTATTATTATATTGTATTTTTTTATTATAATTAATAATATTATTTATTATTATATTGTTATTTTTGGGAGTTGCATACCAACGGAGGTAATAATATAATTTTTTTTAATTAAATACTGTATAATATAAAATTATTTATTATTGTTATTTATTATTGTTATTTATTATTGTTATTTATTATTGTTTTTTATTATTGCTTTTTATTATTGCTTTTTATTATTATAATTTATAAAATTATTTATTATTAAATTACATAATAAATTTTTTTATTTTGATTATAATTAATAAAATTATTTATTATTATATTGTATTTTTTTATTATAATTAATAATATTATTTATTATTATATTGTTTTTTTTGGGAGCTGCATACCAACAGAGGTAATAGTATAATTTTTTTTAATTAAATACTATATAATATAAAATTATTTATTATTGTTATTTATAATTGTTATTTATAATTGTTATTTATAATTGTTATTTATAATTGTTATTTATTATTGTTTTTTATTATTGCTTTTTATTATTATAATTTATAAAATTATTTATTATTAAATTACATAATAAATTTTTTTATTTTGATTATAATTAATAAAATTATTTATTATTATATTGTATTTTTTTATTATAATTAATAATAATATTTATTATTATTATTTTTTTTTTGAATGTTTTGAAGCGATGAGCAGTAATTGTGAGAGTGAGAGTAACGGATTCGGTGAACTACATAGGGAGTTATTGGAACAATGTGTTTCAAAACTGAGAGAAGCACTTCAAGTGGAGCATCTCACTGAAGATGCTATCACTTTTGTCTTGGAAAAATGTGATAGTGTTAGCAGGACTAACACATATCTCGCCTTCAATACCACGTGAGGTGTGTGCATAAGTTGTCTCGCTTTACATTCTTTTTCATGAATTATTTATGAGTACAAAGAAGCTTTCCTTTTCAAAAATAATAATATAGTAAATTAATTTGAATTTCATTAAAATAAAACTTAACAAATATTTAGATCAATGTAAAATGATTTCTATTCACATTTTTTTCTCTGGATACAACAGTCTTTTCATCATTGTAATAGAACTTCGTAAATTTATCCGTCAATGTAAACGAAATTACCATTTCACATTTTTTATTGTGACATGCACAACAGTGATATAACAGATGATTAAACTTTAGCTTGGGCTATTAGTTGATTTTCTTTTATGTCATCTTGTTATGTTCTCAAAAGAAATGTGGTGTTTGCAGTGTCGTTCGTTTGCAGTATCGTTCCAATGAAGTTAAATCGGGTGCAAATTTGTCCATTGTCCATGAATTTTTCTCAGTTTTCTAGCTATCTATATAATTCAAATCCATCTTTCATGGATTATGGACGTATTTAATATTCCTTCCAGTTATTGACTTCTTGTACTTCAATACTTTTATTTCCTAAGTTTGTGTTATGCCAATTTGTTTGTTTTTCTTTCGGGTTTCAGACAGCGAATAAACCATTTACCAGTTGGTGAAGATGGAATGAGTTAACTTTTTTTTTTCCAGCTGATTACGAGGCATTAAATCCATATGTAAGGGAAAGAAAAAGATAAGCTTTTGTATGAAATATACACAACAATGATGACATTTACAAAACATTCATTAATACGATTACTTTTATTTAATCCAAACTAAGTAGTAATCCTTGTTTTTAATGTAATTCTTTTTTGTTCATATCTAACACCTTTTTCATTTGTTATTTGGTTAAAAGTGTTTCTTATGCTGCATATTTCAAGTTTTAGTAAAAAAAATTCGTACTTTAAATAATAACTGAATGACTAAATCAGAAGTACTGTAACAGCTAGAATCACAATGTTGTTCATCATCCTTGTTCATCTTGTCAACTAAGGACTGCCTCAAATGTGAACCAACGACCCAAGTGTGAGAGAGATTTATCCCACGAGAGCAATCTATCGCCAAAGGTGAAGGATTGCTTGAAGAATCCTCCTGCAATATATCTCCTATTCTAGATAGGATGCTGAAGGCTAAATTTGCTAGAACTCTGGAATAAGCTTTCAAAATGGAATATCCAATATCCTACAGAAACAGAAAGAAAACAGAAAGAAACCACATTACCAGTGAATGTATACCAGAAATCTCAACCTTAATGACAAACTTTTGGCTCTGGACGATATTGATACTTTGCTATTTTGTTAGCTTTTTTACTTTTTCCTTTAGATTTAAAACTCAATATTACATGGATTGTCAATGAAAGATAAAACTGAAAACTAAGATTTAGGTTCTGGATAATACTGTCTATTTTCAAAAACTGTTTCTGATTTTCAAAATAAAAATAAATAAGGTTGCTCAAATAATTGGTTGAGGTTGGTACAAGACCCAGAAAGAGTGAGAAATTGTTGTAGTACATAATTTTCTTTAACGCCTGCAGTATATAATAATTAAGCAGCAAAAAGAAACTATAAAAAAGGTGTCCACTCCGACACCAGCTTCCAACCTAGCTTACGCATCCCCTCCTATTATCCTATGAAATCCCAGAAACAATTGAAACAACAAAGTAAAGTTAGACAGTAGAACGTATATACTGCTTTTGTCCTTATATACAAGACCATTTTAACTAATTCATAGGAATTCAAAAGATTGCTTCATTTAGTCTGAGGCATTAAATTTGCTAACAGTTTACCCTTAAAAATATTGTGACTCATCATCTCAATGTTTCTACCTATTTGCTAACAGTTACATCGGACAATATTGTGGCAAGTCATATTTCTCAATCTTCGTCCAAGAAAGAGATAATTTAGTTTTTCTTATTATTCTACAACATCTATTGTTTATTGACAACAAAGTAAAAGTAATTAGGGGCATTTTGATTTAAAAAAATTGCAAAATACATTTTTGAAAGGAGTTTTATAACAAAGGACGAAAACTTTTCTCAAAAGACACCTAAATATAGGGTTGAAGGTAGCATATGCCACACATCATGCATGCAAAGCCCAGAAAAAACCTGATTCAAAGTCTAATGTAAACTTTCTAAATGTGGGGGCAATAAAAGGAGTAGATAGGATGAGCAAAAAGATATATAAAGTGGGTTGGGAGAAGGAATCATCACCTTCTTGAGCTTCCCAAAGGCATACATCAGCCCATTGTAAGAATGAATATCAGGACTCAACCCAAAATTAGATCCAATTGACTCAAAAGTTTGGTAAGCTCGATCAAGGTCCCATATGTTTGCACATCCTAAAATGATGCAGTTTAGAGCAGCAACGGATTTATAAGGATTCTCTACACGGTTTAAATTCTCCAGTTGAAAATAAACCTAAATAGAAGAGAGCATGATTAGAAGAAGTTGGAGTTGAATGTAACATTATTAAGAACTACATAGATAATGGCAGAAATTTAATCTATGTTGCATGCATGTCAACAATTGAAAGACGTAATATATACCAAATATGACATAGCAACATGGAATTTTTTCTACATATATGTCAAAAATGATAAACTTTGTAATCTATTTCCAAATGAAAATTTGCCAATATTAAAACTAGTAGAGTCAATAAAAATTATATGCATCATAGGAAAAGATATACATTATCTAGAGTCTCAAAACCCTTCTTGGAGCATGCCATAACCAATGGATGTAATGAAGTAAATGGGCAGAACAATTCTTCAGCTTCTTGACCAGAGTCTCCATAAGCCAACTCAAACTCATTCAGAGTACTAGAAGCCCTTTGTAGATTTCCCAATGATGCAAGGGCATATATCTTCCCGAGTCATGATATTTTGACAACCCATTTTAAACATCCGTTCGACAACCCAATAAAAAAATAATAAATGTACAGCGTTACTGAATAAAAAAATATTAAATGTACAGTGTTTTTATTATTAAATAATTCATTCCTTTGCCCATCTCTCCTTCTCCGATTCTCATTTTTCTAGCACAAAACTTTCTCATTCCTTCCTCAACCTCGACCTTCCTCACGCGGTTGTGAACTTGCCCAACTTGTCAGTCGAACTCACTCACCACCGCATATATACCAAATTTGTTTCATGCAAATTTTAGTTTTAATTTGTCAAATTTTGAATTGTTTTCTATAATTCCGTGAATATATATTGTATGTCGGCTGAATTTTGTTAGATTAATTTGAAATATACCCCGAAATTGTGGTGTATCGGGTACAAATTATGAGAAAAAAAATTGGTATTTCAAATTTTAAATAATTTTTTTTTAAATTGGGACTTTAGAGAGCAGTTCCCAGAACCGCTATCTAAACCTACTAAAGAGAGCGGTTCTATAACTAACTGCTATTAAAAGTATATTTTAGATAGCGGTTAAATTGAAACCGCTATTATATGTTCACTTTTAAGAGCGGTCAAAATATTAACCGCTCTTAAAAGTTACATATATGATAGCGGTTCCACTTTAACTGCTCTTAAAAGTGAATCAGATATCGCTCGAGCGAGACTAGTGTCGCTCAAGCGAAATACAACCCGAGAATCCAAATTTTTTGTAGGCGGTGTCGCTCGAGCGATGTAAGTTTAGCTTGAGCGAATGTTGACCTCGGGATAAACGTCGATCAAAGTTAGCCGCATAATGTA